TGTTGCAAGTTGAGCCAGAGATTAAAAGTGAACAAATATTCTCCAGTTAAAATAGAGGTAGATATAAATATACTTTGAAAGAGGTGGCCTTACACACCCTCTCAGGGGAACAATAATTTTACGCTACTTCAACCCCTGTCGAAGGCATAGCCATGATAAATCTGAGTTACTAATCATACACAACCGATTCATACAATACAGAACTTTTTAAATCAAAATTTGTGAATTGGTTCCATATCTTCTTAAAAGTGAATGATTAAACGTGAATTGACATTGCTAAAAAGGTCCTTAACTATTTTGACACTCAAATATTGATCCCTTGTAATGGGAAAATCAACACTCAAGCAGGACATGCTTGGCTGTGATTCTTTCATCACAAGGGATACAAAACGGAGGATCCTCACCTTTTAATAAATATTCATGAGTATATCTACTATGTCCAATACGACATAATCGTAAAATGACTTCTTCAAATCTGGAGGGGGCACGGGTGGCCCAGTCGTCTAAGGCGCCGCGATTCGCTGTGCAGAGTTGCGTCCCTTGGGCACGCCAGAAACCTATGATTGTGGGTTCGAATCCCGGTTCGCCCCGATTATGTTTCTATGTTTGTCAGCACCATACCCGTGCTCTTGGGTTTCACCGAAGTGGTAAACGTCTGAGACCTGCATCACTTCGGTCTTTCCTCCCAAATTAAGCTGACACGCCGCGATATAATTGGAATACTGTTAAAAGCGGCGTTAAACCCAATCACTCACTCACACTCTTCAAATCTGGATTGAGAACCCAAGTAGGTGTAACCGATATTTGGTTATATTTCATGTAACCTATTCATACCTGCTTGGGTGTCCCACTTCTTTTGCATCAGATCTCGGATATAACATCGAATCACAGGTTTGTTATCACTGTATGGGATAAGAAGTGGTGTCGCATATTTAGTGCGTGCTGCTTTTGCTATGCCCATAAGACTGAGAAACCAACAAAAGACGATGTCGCAGTGGCCAGTTGAAAGACCATTGTAAAGTTCTAAAATAATTGGATGAGTCGACGATACATTATTTAGGGCCTGAAGACAAGATAGCGAATCAGAAAAGATGATAAATTGTTTACGTGCAGACTATCGTTGATTGTATATCAATGCTGTAAGGATAGCATTGGCCTCAGCAGTGAAAATAGAGCTATTGTCCGGTGTTCTAGATGATATACATTTTGATCCAACGACAGTACTAGTGACACTTGCTACTTTGCCGCCATCCTTGGACCCATGAGTAAAGATTGAATGGTGAGTGTCGTATATATTTCTTAATTGTAAATATTCCTGTTGATATACTAGTTGATTAGTGTCAGATTTTATAAAATTTGGCTTCTTTTACAATCTTAATTGGAGAGCCATCTAAAAAGAGCTTTGGCTCTTTATGGAGTTTATATTTCCGACAGAAAAGTATACAATTGACAACTTGAAGCCATTCTCAATTCTCACCATTTATGAGTGTTATTAAGACAACTGTAATTGTCTTTCAATGGTACGCATAGGACAGTAAAAATACTAGACTTATCACAGATATCTATTTTTAAAACTAGTATGTGGCCATTAAAAAACTAGTATGTGGCCATTAAAAGCTATCTCTAAACAGAACAATACATTGTAAAACGGGCTATAGATCGCCAGCAATCGAAGGTAGATCACCATACTAGGGACCATGGGGACTTATAGTACCTTTGCTACCTGCATAGACCCAAGCAGGATTTACATCATCCCTGGCGACTTTGTGCAATGTATGCCATCAATTAAAACCAACAAATATACTAGGATTAAAATCGTGGTAGGCCTAAATTTACTTTGAATGATGTGGAACTTACATACCCTCTCAGGGGAACAATAATTTTACAGTACCTTAACCAAGGATACCGCCACTAACAATCTCTGTTACTAATTTAATCTACCAATTTTAAAACATTCATATTTTATAACACTTATAACACTTCACGGGAGGCGCCATGTTCTTTACGAACCGAATGTCGATTTCATTACGCGATTTTGATTGGAATATGCAGTCCATGGGGTACGAGTGATGAGTCAGCACCTGTGGTAATAGTAAAACAGTACAATGTCTGTAGAGTTGTGGTGAACATATGACATATGACACTTGTGCCAGTGTGCTCTAAATACTTAAAATCACCAACATCTGAATCAGAACCACTTCTACCAAGCCAATGAGGTTGTGTTCAATAATCTCAACATAAGTCTTTGAAAGGCATTTAGAAGTGATACACATAAGGAAGAGAATTTATGGATGTCAACTTCTTTATTATGAGGAACACAACGTTTCGGAATATATGCTTACTCCTTCATTGGGTGAATGATTAAGAAGTTAACATCTGTAAATTATTTTCCTTAATTTCAACATAGTTCGGGTAAGTACCTGTGTGAGCATTGACATCGCCACCGCCCAAAGGTATTATTATGTGTCTCCTACTCTAGACATTGACGAGATATCTACATATTTATTTTCTGACCTGTGAAGATCCGGCGTAGAACAGTTTTTCAGCAACCCATGCTTGCTCTGAAAGGCGACTATGGTTGTCTTTAGAGGCGACTAATGGAATCGGGTGGTCAGGCTCGCTGACTTGGTTGATGCATGTCATCGTATCCCAATTGCGGGGCTGGTCGGGTAGCCTAGTGATTAAAGCGTTCGCTCGTTACGCTGAAAACCCATGTTCGATTCCCGACATGAGTACAATGTTTTAAGCCCATTTCTGGTGTCCCCTGCCGGGATATTGCTGGAATATTGCTAAAAGCGGCGTAAAATCAAACTCACTCACTCAACTAATTGCGTGGATCGATGTCAATCACTGGATTGTCTGGTCCAGACTCGATTATTTACAGACCGCTGTCATATAGCTGAAATTTTGCTGAGTGCGGCGTTAAACAACAAACAAACAAACATTTTCTGTCATAACCACAAAACAAGACAAATAGTTATCTTCTTGGTTCAATCTACAAGCAAACTCGAGAGGGATACATGATGTTTATTTGCTTATTAACAACCCAATAATGGAGTTAGTCTTTCCTTGGAGGGAATGTGATTGTAATGCAACACACAAATGCAATGAATATACAACGTATTTAATACGAAGTTCAATAATGATAAGAAAAAAGAAGTCTTCAAAACAAGACAAAAAATAATATAAAATCAGTGTATTCCATTTCAAAGTACAGGAGATACAGTCATACAGGAAACTGTTCATGTGAACTAATGATTTGACTCTTCATCACTGCCTGTGACTTGGAATACCTACACAACGTCATGTAAATAGTCGAAAAAGACATCCTTACAGATGCAAAGCTTCCAACAGTGACGATGGTGGCTCATTCAACCCACTCACCCCTGACAGAAGCTTACACGATGCCTCAGAAGTTGCAGAGAATTCCACTTTGAAGCGCATGTTAACTGATGATGGTACCTGCGCAGATCCAAGGATCATATCCTTGGAAGGGCTGACCACAACAAAGCTTTTTCTTTCCAGATCGAAGCAAAGTCCAAGTTGAACCCTGTCCAAAGGTACTATGTATGTACATTGTATCGTGTCAGTAGTGAGATACTTAAACATGGTAACATTAATCCCGTTACCATTGCTTTTACAAACTGTGCCATTTTGACATATTCTTTCAAACAGGAAAGTGAAGCCGCTTTCGACATCGCTTTTCAGTTGTCCCAACTTCAGATGAGATAACACACCTTCCCGAGCTTTTCGTGGTAACGTTATGGACACGGTCCAATAATAACAACCGTCTGTATTGAAATCTCCAACGCTGTACACCAGGCAGCTGCTGTTTTGGCGACTGTGGTTGGTGATGGCCACACTGTCTTTCTGTACTTTACATGTACTGCTGTTGTACTCGGCAAACCTGATATATGGACCTAGAAACGTAACAGGAACATAGATGTAATCACAATTATCAGTTATAGCAGAAAAGTAGCATCTGCTTATGAAAGCCAATGGTGATTTAAAGAGTAAATGTCAAATGAAATGAGGTTGTGTTTAAGTATAGTGAGGTTGAACTCCGCACTGCATGTCATTCTCCTTCAGAGTGGGTTTTGTCAGAGCGTGATGTTGTCATTGGTAGAATGCACCATCGGAAAAAGAGGAAAGAGAAATTGAACAAACCCATTCGGTTCCAACCAGCTGTCATCAAAACTCTGGCTGTCCTACATGAAACATGTGTAGTTGTTCCCACTTGCAAGGCCTCAAATAACATAACCATTGTATACACAAAGAAAAAGCACAACCTGATATATTTCATTATTGTTGGGTCCCAATATTTGTAACAGTCATGAAATATATTATTACGGGAAGAACTATGTTTTCTCGTGATGATGTAATCACTCATGCATGACGAAAGCTCACGTGCCATGCATGGTATGCACGTGCAACATGCTACCCTCGAGGATATCTAAAAGCAGTATATTCAAAAGTTAAAATTGCTTACTTAAGTTCGGTTTTAAACAGTTATTCCATGACATTGTGTGACCATGGCACGAAACGCCACAACATGGCAAATAATCGGCATGCATAATGCAGGAATGTCTTGTAATGCCATTGGTCGGAATTTGGGGTATCATCACACTGTCATAAGCCATTTAGACGAGAAACATGCTCAGACCGGTGATGTACAGGACCGTCCTAGATCCGGAAGACCTCCTGTGACGACACATCGCGAAGACAGGGACCTTCTTCGTCTCATATCCGAGAACCCTTTTTAACAAGTACTTTTCTAAAACAGCTGTGGTTGCCCAATCGTCGTTTCAGCACCAGAACCGTCAGGAACCGACTGAAAGCAGCAGGACTGAGGGCCAGACGAGTCATTAAGCGTCCCTTGTTGAAAGACCACCACAAATCTGCTCGTTTAGCATGGTGTTTTGCGCGACAGAACTGGAATCTGAGAACTTGGAGACGGATCCATCGGTCAGACGAAAGTCGCTTTCTGCTCCACGTCACTGATGGAAGAACGAGATTTAGGAGGCGCCGGAACACGGCCTACGCCCCCAGGAACATTAAACAGGTAATGGTGTGGGGGTGTATCTCTCATGATTGCAGGTTAGATTTGGTTGCCATAAGGGGTAACTTAACAGAGGCTCAGTACATCCGGGACGTTTTCGGGCCAGTCGTCGTCCCTCAACCACCCTCTTGCTACTCGACCTCAGTACATGGATGACAATGACAGGCCTCAGTGTGGATTACATGAGGGCCAATGAAATAACGACTCTACCTTGGCCAGCATTAAGCCCCTTGAACATGTTTTGGATACTCAGGGGCGGCGCATACAGGCACGAGATCCTCCTGTACATGATTTACACCATTTGGAAGCAGCATTGCATCAGGAGTGGTTTCGTTGTTGACCCATAAACAGATCCAACGTCTGACTGGAGGCATGAGATGTAGGGTGGAATGCGTCACCCGGGCACGTGGCGGTTAGACTTGTTTCACGTGTCATGTCAAGTAGAGACTTTAAGGAACATCTTCACATGAAACATCAAACATAACTCGTTTTCTTAATCCTGCAGCTCCATACTTTTTGAAGTATTGTCTAAGGTACAAAAACAGTACCTGTGTTACCATGATGTTTTTGTCAGTAAATTTCAATCACAACTAACCAATATCTTCTTTATTTGTTGTCAAATGTTTGTTCTATCCGATTACATTGGTATCGCCCAGCTCCTGTGGTCAGTCATCCAATGCCATGATCTTTGCCATTTGTCATGGTTCAGAAATAGGGGTGTCCTTAACTTTTTTCTTTCTGTATATGTAAGCAATACTACATTAATGTTTGATCAAAGAGCTTGGTAGAAGTGACCTATCAAATAAAGCCACATATGAGGCCAATATGTTAAGTGAGGAAGAAATATGCCAAAACCATGCATCACTACTATTAACTTTTGACTTGATTTTTTTACTTTGATTTTTCAACTTTGTACACCACTATCCCACATGGCAAACTTAAGGAAAAATGTATTCGGTTTCAATGGAGATTTTGTTACAAACGTGGTTACCATAGAAGTAGATCTCCAGAGGTTCAAGTCAATTTGTCAAAAATCAATGCAAACGCCATCTGAAGTTAACCGAGAAATCAACATGCGAAATTCTGGACTCATTGATAACATCTATGTATAACCTGGGGATAAGACATTTAGGCAAGAAGTAGGTATCCCCATGGACACCAATTGCGCTCCTCTTCTTGCTGATCTGTTGAAAGCAAGGTCATTTGGCCAAGAAGTTTAACTTAAGCTTCAGGTTTATCGATGATCTGATATAGTTATATATAGATATAACCATCAATTAGCCAATTCCCTTCCAATGAGACAAGTGACACCTATGTGGATCTTTACATAAATATTCATTCAGAGTGACAAAACACTCTTCACAAAGCTGCATGACAAGACGGATGGCTTCAACTTTCCAATAGTCAACTTTCTCTTTATGTCAAGCAATATTCCTGCAGCCCCAGCCCTTGCAATTGGTGTCTTCATTTCACAACTTTTAAGGAGCAATGGAGCATACTCTTTGTACCAACTCTTGCTCAGAAGTTGGTTGATCAAGCTAATAACGTTCGAGGCCTCAGTAAAGCTTTCAAAACGTTTTCATCGGTGACAAAAATTATGTCCGATGAAATTCCATATTTTCACTTGTACCATATGTTCTCGTGCTTTTTCAGGTGAACAATTGATTTGACTTTGCATGTGTTTGTGATGGTTCCAACAGTGGGGCAGGATACACTCGACTTTTTACACGTGGTATCATCACTATTTGATAGTAATTCTTAAATGCTTGCACATGATATAGTCAGAATCGTACGATCGACTCTGTTTTTGACAGAGATCTTATGGATATGGAAAGGGCTTTGTCGTGTTTTTTGTCGGAAAAAGTTTTTCATTACGTGTCCGCTTAAACCCAAGGAGGGGTACAACACTAACATTCTGTTGTAAATGCAACTGAGCATGACCTTTAGGCAAAAATAGTATCACCAGTGTGATAGCATTGTTTGAGGAAAACGTACACGTATCAAACTTAAAAAAATACACCCATGTGGGTGTCCTTAAGACAACTTTATCATCTCTTTAACCAAATACATGTAAATAAAGAAAAAGAATGAGCATTTTCATTAGAGTAATGACCAGTCTCAGTTGCTCAGCATCGAGATTTCTTCTTTTCCAAGATCGAGGTAGTGTAAAACAGCGCAAATTACATTTTTTTTCTGTTCTCTTGCTTTGGTGTTTAATATTAATAATAAAGCCATATTTGGTAAGTCAATATCGAAATTGTTTACACATTGCCTAAAGGTATTCAGGCTTTCTGTTACTTTCAAATGTGCTTTTACTGAATTAAGCACAAAGGGTCATCACAGCACGTTGTCTTTTCTTATTCCATGGTGCCGACCAACCTAGAAACATAATCGGGGCGAACCGGGATTCAAACAAACAATCCTAGGTTTCTGGCGTGCCCAAGGGATTCACGGACATGCTTATGATATACAATCGTACAAAGCTTTCTGCTTTTAGCAGATATTTCGTATGTCAATCCCCACTCCAACCTAATATGATATTGCTAAAAGCAGCGTAAATACCCATCAGCCATACTGATAAACAGGTCTGTGTAATTTTGTTATGCTTACCAGACATAAATGATATTCTCAATTCCTAATATAGCTATAATGTACTGAACCGATATATCTTGGTTTGTTTTGATATTCGTCTGTAGCCAAAGTTAATGTCAATGGCCCAAAAATGCCGCAGCTTAACAAACGACCTTGATATAAAGCCCCGAATGCTTTCCATGAAAATCAAAATTCACTTGCGTTCTCTTGAGCCATTTCTGAATACCGGGATCTAACATTCTTGTATCGATACAGGCGCCATGCCAAGAGTTACGAAGAATCAGAGCAGCCACGCTTTAGAAGACTGCAGGCCGGCCAGACTGCACAAATTGTTGCCAATGTGTTTAATGTCCACGTGATTAAAGCAACGATACCAGGTCACCATCAGCATGCATTCTTCCATAACTTCAATCTTCACCTCCACCACAATCACCCCTTCCACTAACACTGCCACATCCACATCAATCTACAACATCCATCCCTTCCACTACCACTACCATACCCATCTTCCACATCCATCCCGTCCACTAACATTACCACATCCATATCCATCTACCACATCCATCCCGTCCTCTACCACATCCAGATCACCTCTTCCACTACCACTACCACATCCATATCCATCTACAACATCCATCCCTTCCACTACCACATCCATATCCATCTACAACATCCATCCCATCTACTTACACTACCACATCCACATCAATCTACCACATCCATCCCGTCCATAACCACATCCAGACCACCTCTTCCACTAACACTTCCACATCCATATCCGCCTACCACATCCATCCCTTCCACTACCACTACCATACCCATCTTCCACATCCATCCCGTCCACTAACATAACCACATCCATATCCATCTACCACATCCATCCCGTCCTCTACCACATCCAGATTACCTCTTCCACTACCACTACCACATCCATATCCATCTACAACATCCATCCCTTCCACTACCACATCCATATCCATCTACAACATCCATCCCATCCACTAACACTACCACATCCACATCAATCTACCACATCCATCCCGTCCATAACCACATCCAGACCACCTCTTCCACTAACACTTCCACATCCATATCCGTCTACCACATCCATCCCTTCCACTAACACTACCACATCAATCTACCGCATCCATCCCATCCACTATCACTGCCACATCCATCTACCACATCCATCCCGTCCTCTACCACATCCAGATCACCTCTTCCACTACCACTACCACATCCATATCCATCTACAACATCCATCCCTTCCACTACCACATCCATATCCATCTACAACATCCATCCCATCCACTAACACTACCACATCCACATCAATCTACCACATCCATCCCGTCCATAACCACATCCAGACCACCTCTTCCACTAACACTTCCACATCCATATCCGTCTACCACATCCATCCCTTCCACTAACACTACCACATCAATCTACCGCATCCATCCCATCCACTATCACTGCCACATCCATCTACCGCATCCATTCCGTCCACTAGCACATCCATATCGACCGCCTCCGTGGTCTTGTGGCAGAGCGTCCGCCCGGAGAGCGGAAGGTCCGGGGTTCGATCCCGGGCCGCGTCATACAAAAAGACGTTAAAAGATTGTACTTGTTGTTACCCTGTCTGGCGCTCGGCATTAAGGGGCTAAAACAAGGGCTGGTCGGCTCGGAGTCAGTATACTGTGTCTGAGTGGGGTATTCATGGGGTATTACATCCACTAGCACATCCATATCGACCGCCTCCGTGGTCTTGTGGCAGAGCGTCCGCCCGGAGAGCGGAAGGTCCGGGGTTCGATCCCGGGCCGCGTCATACAAAAAGACGTTAAAAGATTGTACTTGTTGTTACCCTGTCTGGCGCTCGGCATTAAGGGGCTAAAACAAGGGCTGGTCGGCTCGGAGTCAGTATACTGTGTCTGAGTGGGGTATTCATGTTAAACTGCGGCATGGTATCTCAGTGTGCTCGCACTATAAATCGGTATCAGTCCTGTCTAGTACAAGCAGCCACACACACACACGTGCATGTACGTCGCTATATAAGTGCAATAATCTTGGACGCGACGTTAAACCAAATTTCACCTCACCTCACCACATCCATATCAATCTACCACGTCCATCCCCTCGACTACCACTACCACATCCATATCCATCTACCTCATTCACCCCGTCCACTATCACTGCCACATCCACATCAATCTACCACATCCATCCCTTCCACTAAAACTGCCACATCCACATACCACATTCTTCCCGTCCACTCCCACATCCAGATCACCCCTTTCACTAACACTGGCACATCCATGTCAATCTACCACATCCATCCCGCCCACTGCCACTACCACATCCATAACCATCTACCACATCCATCCCATCCACTAAAACTGCCACATCCACATCAATCTACCACATCCATCCCGTCCACTACCACATCCATATCATCCCTTCCACTACCACTACCACATCCATATCCATCTACAACATCCATCCCTTCCACTAACACTGTCACATCCATATCCATCTACAACACCCATCTCGTCCACTACCACATTCAGACCATCACTTCAACATCCACTGAAATATTTCATCATACCGAATATACGCAAAACATACTGAAAACGGTACTTACGTTCGAGCTTTCTTTTTTTCTCTTCCTTAATGTGCGTTGGTTCTGAAAGCATACATTATATGGAAGTTGGTTATCCATCCCGTCCACTAACACTGCTACATCAATCCTTTCCACTAACACTACCACACCCACCCCTTCCACTAACACTACCACACCCACCCCTACCACTAACACTACCACAACCATCTCTTCCACTAACACTACTACATCCATCCCTTCCACTAACACTACCACAACCATCTCTTCCACTAACACTACTACATCCATCCCTTCCACTAACACTACCACAACCACCCCTTCCACTAACACTACCACAACCATCTCTTCCACTAACACTACCACACCCATCCCTTCCACTAACACTACAACATCCATCCCTTCCACTAACACTACCACAACCATCCCTTCCACTAACACTACCACAACCATCTCTTCCACTAACACTACCACAACCATCCCTTCCACTAACACTACCACAACCACCCCTTCCACTAACACTACCACACCCACCCCTTCCACTAACACTACTACACCCACCCCTTCCACTAACACTACAACATCAATCCCTTCCACTAACACTACCACAACCATCTCTTCCACTAACACTACCACAACCATCTCTTCCACTAACACTACTACACCCACTCCTTCCACTAACACTACCACAACCACCCCTTCCACTAACACTACCACACCCACCCCTTCCACTAACACTACCACACCCACCCCTTCCACTAACACTACCACACCCACCCCTTCCACTAACACTACCACAACCATCTCTTCCACTAACACTACTACATCCATCCCTTCCACTAACACTACCACAACCATCCCTTCCACTAACACTACAACATCCATCCCTTCCACTAACACTACCACAACCATCTCTTCCACTAACACTACAACAACCATCCCTTCCACTAACACTACCACAACCATCTCTTCCACTAACACTACTACACCCACCCCTTCCACTAACACTACCACAACCATCTCTTCCACTAACACTACCACAACCATCCCTTCCACTAACACTACTACACCCACCCCTTCCACTAACACTACCACAACCACCCCTTCCACTAACACTACCACAACCATCCCTTCCCCTAACACTACTACACCCACTCCTTCCACTAACACTACCACAACCACCCCTTCCACTTACACTACCACAACCATCTCTTCCACTAACACTACAACAACCATTCCTTCCACTAACACTACCACAACCACCCCTTCCACTAACACTACCACAACCATCCCTTCCACTAACACTACCACAACCACCCCTTCCACTAACACTACCACACCCACCCCTTCCACTAACACTACTACACCCACCCCTTCCACTAACACTACAACATCAATCCCTTCCACTAACACAACCACAACCATCTCTTCCACTAACACTACCACAACCATCTCTTCCACTAACACTACTACACCCACTCCTTCCACTAACACTACCACAACCACCCCTTCCACTAACACTACCACACCCACCCCTTCCACTAACACTACCACACCCACCCCTTCCACTAACACTACCACACCCACCCCTTCCACTAACACTACCACAACCATCTCTTCCACTAACACTACTACATCCATCCCTTCCACTAACACTACCACAACCATCCCTTCCACTAACACTACAACATCCATCCCTTCCACTAACACTACCACAACCATCTCTTCCACTAACACTACAACAACCATCCCTTCCACTAACACTACCACAACCATCTCTTCCACTAACACTACTACACCCACCCCTTCCACTAACACTACCACAACCATCTCTTCCACTAACACTACCACAACCATCCCTTCCACTAACACTACTACACCCACCCCTTCCACTAACACTACCACAACCACCCCTTCCACTAACACTACCACAACCATCCCTTCCCCTAACACTACTACACCCACTCCTTCCACTAACACTACCACAACCACCCCTTCCACTTACACTACCACAACCATCTCTTCCACTAACACTACAACAACCATTCCTTCCACTAACACTACCACAACCACCCCTTCCACTAACACTACCACAACCATCTCTTCCACAAACACTACCACAACCATCCCTTCCACTAACACTACCACAACCATCTCTTCCACTAACACTACAACAACCATCCCTTCCACTAACACTACCACACCCATCCCTTCCACTAACACTACAACAACCATCCCTTCCACTAACACTACCACAACCATCCCTTCCACTAACACTACCACAACCATCTCTTCCACTAACACTACAACAACCATCTCTTCCACTAACACTACAACAACCATCCCTTCCCCTAACACTACTACACCCACCCCTTCCACTAACACTACCACAACCACCCCTTCAACTTACACTACCACAACCATCCCTTCCCCTAACACTACTACACCCACTCCTTCCACTAACATTACCACAACCACCCCTTCCACTAACACTACCACAACCATCTCTTCCACTAACACTACCACAACCATCCCTTCCACTAACACTACCACAACCATCTCTTCCACTAACACTACAACAACCATCCCTTCCACTAACACTACCACACCCATCCCTTCCACTAACACTACAACAACCATCCCTTCCACTAACACTACCACAACCACCCCTTCCACTAACACTACCACAACCATCTCTTCCACTAACACTACAACAACCATCTCTTCCACTAACACTACAACAACCATCCCTTCCCCTAACACTACTACACCCACCCCTTCCACTAACACTACCACAACCACCCCTTCCACTTACACTACCACAACCATCCCTTCCCCTAACACTACTACACCCACTCCTTCCACTAACACTACCACAACCACCCCTTCCACTAACACTACCACAACCATCCCTTCCACTAACACTACTACACCCACCCCTTCACTAACACTACCACAACCATCTCTTCCACTAACAGTACAACAACCATCTCTTCCACTAACACTACTACACCCACCCCTTCCACTAACACTACCACAACCATCTCTTCCACTAACACTACCAGAACCATCCCTTCTCCTTACACTACCACAACCATCCCTTCCACTAACACTACCACAACCATCCCTTCCACTAACACTACCACAACCATCTCTTCCACTAACACTACTACACCCAATCCTTCCACTAACACTCCCACAACCACCCCTTCCACTAACACTACCACAACCATCTCTTCCACTAACACTACAACAACCATCCCTTCCACTAACACTACCACAACCACCCCTTCCACTAACACTACCACAACCATCTCTTCCACAAACACTACCACAACCATCCCTTCCACTAACACTACCACAACCATCTCTTCCACAAACACTACCACAACCATCCCTTCCACTAACACTACCACAACCACCTCTTCCACTAACACTACAACAACCATCCCTTCCACTAACACTACCACACCCATCCCTTCCACTAACACTACAACAACCATCCCTTCCACTTACACTACCACAACCACCCCTTCCACTAACACTACCACAACCATCTCTTCCACTAACACTACTACATCCATCCCTTCCACTAACACTACCACAACCATCCCTTCCACTAACACTACCACAACCATCCCTTCCACTAACACTACAACAACCATCCCTTCCCCTAACACTACTACACCCACCCCTTCCACTAACACTACCACAACCACCCCTTCCACTTACACTACCACAACCATCCCTTCCCCTAACACTACTACACCCACTCCTTCCACTAACACTACCACAACCACCCCTTCCACTAACACTACCACAACCATCCCTTCCACTAACACTACCACAACCATCCCTTCCACTAACACTACCACAACCATCTCTTCCACTAACACTACAACAACCATCCCTTCCACTAACACTACCACACCCATCCCTTCCACTAACACTACAACAACCATCCCTTCCACTAACACTACCACAACCACCCCTTCCACTAACACTACCACAACCATCTCTTCCACTAACACTACAACAACCATCTCTTCCACTAACACTACAACAACCATCCCTTCCCCTAACACTACCACAACCACCCCTTCCACTAACACTACCACAACCACCCCTTCCACTTACACTACCACAACCATCCCTTCCCCTAACACTACTACACCCACTCCTTCCACTAACACTACCACAACCACCCCTTCCACTAACACTACCACAACCATCCCTTCCCCTAACACTACTACAACCACCCCTTCCACTAACACTACCACAACCATCTCTTCCACTAACACTACCACAACCATCTCTTCCCCTAACACTACCACACCCATCCCTTCCACTTACACTACAACAACCATCCCTTCCACTAACACTACCACAACCATCTCTTCCACTAACACTACTACATCCATCCCTTCCACTATTACTACCACACCCACCCCTTCCACTAACACTACTACATCCATCCCTTCCACTAACACTACTACAACCATCCCTTCCACTACCACTACTACAACCATCCCTTCCACTAACACTACCACAACCATCCCTTCCACTCACACTACCACATCCCTATCAATCTACCACATCCATCCCTTCCACTAACATTACCACATCCATATCCATCTACCACATCCATCCCTTCCATTAACACTACCACATCCATATCAATCTACCACATCCATCCCTTCCACTAACATTACCACATCCATATCCATCTACCACATCCATCCCTTCCATTAACACTACCACATCCATATCAATCTACCACATCCATCCCTTCCACTAACACTACCACATCCATATCAATCTACAACACCAATCTCGTCCACTACTACATCCAGATCATCCCTTCAACATCCACTGAAATAGTTCATCATACTGAACATACGCAGATACTGAAAACGGTTCTTACCTTCGAGCTTTCTTTTTTTCACTTCCTTAATGTGCGTTGGTTCTGAAAGTATAAATTATATGGAAGATGGTTATTTAGTATCATCATTTTGTCATGACAGAAACAATTCGTTTTGAAGTTGAAATCAAATATGAACATATATTTAATTATACATGTATATGAATCATTTCCTTAAATACAGGTTCAACTTGACACAGCATTGCCAATGGGGGGGGGGGGGGGGGGGGGGGGAGGGGGCTTCTTAAAGGCTTCCATTATGTACACAATCTCCAGAAAAATTGAATTCTCTCTAAGCCTTACAACCTCTGTAATGGACCGACCATTTGATAATCGGGGGCTGGGATTTTGTATTGAGACCAGATACTTTTTGCACCTGCAGCTACACAACCCGATATTTTTTAATCATGAGCAAGAATATTTCTTTGTTAAATACACTTAGCAACAATAATTTTAGTGGCAGACAATTTCGTTTTCTATAACAATATGAAGCATAACTATTGTTTTCAAGAATCTTCGAGATAATTCTATTCTTTCGATGGAATGACAAATTACATAGTCTTTCCCAAACGACTGCGATTTATTTGGATCAGGCACACGTGCCTCAATTTTGCCTTTAACCTGAGTGTACATTTCTCAATAACTCACCCACGCAAACCAAAGATTGGTTGTGGTTGGCAGTGCACACTTGCTGGTTCTGGCACTGGACTACACAGCACGCCTGTGCATCGCCTTGAAACTGGTAACATAGAAGAGTATTGTCACATTTACTAAGAGTACACTACTATAGCATTTGTGTGTTCTACAAAATAAACCGCATGTAGAAACCATCAACACATTTAATTGAATATAACGCCTTTTATAAAGAATATGTTCAGCGATGACATAAAATTAGCATACCAGATATGGAATATGGTTTCCACGATGTGCACATGGCAGAGAAACGAGACGGGACGGGGTTGTCTTGAGAGTGATGATGGATCGGGGTAACTTTAATTAGCGCCATTGTTGTTATTTTTCGAATGGTATGTGCTTATATATGTTTCGAAAGATGACAACAACAAAAAGATTTTCGCTCAGATTCGCCGACCTCAAAACTTACAAACAAGTGGTGGGTGTATATTGTACATTTACAGATTTGGTTTCAGAAAACATATACTGACAATATAAGTACGTCCGACACTACGCAAGGTTCCAGTGTTTAAAAAAAACCCGTGGCTTCATCGAGAGGATTAGACATCACCTGAGAATACCAACCCCAAGTAGTATAGTGTCAGTCCGCAGGAACCCCCTTTGGTTGAGGGAGGTTGAGTGAAAATAGGGAAGGTGATTGGTTTATCCAAGTCACGTGATCGGATAGGATGACTCATGCATCAACAGCGCGTCGGGAAAGGGTGGGGAATGAAAGGTGTGTGTTTATAAGGCAGAAAAGAATTCATAAGAAAACAAAAGTAAAGGGTTATGAATAGAGCTAAATGTATATCGTGCTGCCCTGAATAGACAGACCGTACCCGTCAGCCCAGTTTGAATTGAGCGCGCTTGACAACTCACGTGGCCTCGTCGTTTAACCCGCGCTCGATAGAGCGTGCGACCTGGTTTGATGAATGCAGGGTGTGTGTTGAAAGTACGACCATACCGCAATAGAGACGGGTTGTGTCAACATGATATACGCCGGGTAATGTAAGGGGAAAAAAAATGTACGTCTAGCTGGATCAAATTCATCTTGTACGGTCTACACGTTGTACACCATGAACGTTAGACAACCTGTATAGAACAAAATATAGACAAAATAGATAAGACTACACAATCAGCAAGCTAGCAGTGTAGTTTACGTTTAGCGGGCAACAACGAGGTAGTCACGTCACCCTGCATTGACTATAACGCTGAAGGCAGCCGGATTTCGAATCACCCCGCGCTGCTTACTATTGTGAACCATTTGTAAAGAATTATTCAGGTCTGTCCCGACTTGCATAGTTGATGTTTCAATGCTAGCTTTTCCATTTAACGCGATGATAAATAAACCGTGCGGTTTGAGTTTTAACCGTGTAACATGATGTGCGCAGTTTTACTTCAGAACGTGCTATTTTGAAAATAGATAGAAAACTGATAAGTACATGTACCAGTGTGACGGCACCAAGCTAGGTTTGTTGGGAAAGTGATGGAAGCAATCTATAGGACATTTTAATGTTTACAATACCCACCCTTAATTCGAAGAGAGAACAGAGTTTATCATGGAAAATTGTTTGACGAGGAAAATGTTTTATTGGAAATATATGTCGAAGCAGGTTTATTCATAGCTAATGTATAGCAGAGAGACTAAGCGACCGACCGCCCATAACAATGTCAACATACCCCGGCCTTACAATTAATGTTAACATACCAGCCTCGCCTGAAGCTTCCCATTCATAAATTGTGTGACCAGTGTCCCGTATTTATGATATATTAGGGAAGATGTGTTGTACATTTGTTATTTTAAAAGGGAGTTATTTCAGAGAGGATATATATGGGTATTCCCCCTCATTAAACCTTTCTTTCGTTGGTGTCTATTAAACGTATCCGGTATTTAATACATTTGAATGATGTAGGAAAGTATGTGCGTGTAGATGTTGTACCTATATCCGAACACGAATGTATGACACCTTTCGATAGATCAATTACGGTTCTAACCACGACACGCAACATGACTATGAGCGTGGTTAGCAGTTCATATTTATAAACACATCGTAAATGACAGATTTCTGATGAATGAACTCGTCCGCACACATGTCTATAGGGTTATGTTCGCCCGAACTGTAAACAGTGACACATTTGATAACAGGGAGGGTGTGTGGAATGCACTCGTCCTTGTAGGGGTAAAATACGCGTTTAAACTCACCATTTAAATGATGACATTACTTTTTTAGATGTATTAGTATCAGTGAGTGAGTGAATTTAGTTGTACGCCACACTCGGCATTATTCCAGCTCTAGGACGGTGGTCTGTCAATAAACGAGCTTGGACCAGACAATCCAGTGATCAACAGCATGTGCAGCGATCTGGCCAACTAGGAACCGATGGCACGTGTGTCATCCGAGTCGGCGAGACTGACCAACCGATCCCCGCCGTCAGTCGCCGATAAGCATGGGTTACTGAAGGTCGATTCTATAACCCGGACCTTCACGGGTGTAGTATGATGAAGACTTTATACTAATATGGTCGCTTTTCTAACATACTCACAAGTGTGCTGTGAAGAAAAGAGTGTCTTCCAAGATTCCCTGCACGTGTAAGACAGTATAAACTCTACAGTAGTGTAGCCCGACAAACAGTTTTACTCTCGCAAGCAAACGGATTGGACGTGAACAACATGAAGAAAGCATCAGAGATTAGACTTGACCCTAGAGACATATTTAGGAAGACTACGTTGAGAAAATCACAACAGAGAAAGAAACCACAAGCAGCCAAAAAGGCGACGCTGAAGACAAAGAAGAGACAGGTAACACCTAAAATGAAAACGATGACAACCAAACAGGTATCGAAGTCAACACCCCAACCCGTGAAAATACAACATGTGTCGGAGGTGAAGGCTGTGGTTGAATGGGCACTTGCTGCCTTGAAGCATCAACAGAGTCAAGGGTATAAAAGAAAGCTTCATACCCTCTAATCGCACACCGTATCGGATCACCATGGGGGTTGCCACCTGTGACCTTTGAAAAAATGTTTTCAAGGAGAGATGTCATGTTACGACACAGGAGAAATAAACATAGCATACCGCCGCCGCCGTTACAAGCCCACCCACCGCCGCAAGTCCACTCGCCATTACAAACCCACCCGCTAACGCCGCCGCCGCAAGCCCATCCGCTACCGCCGCCGCCGCCGCTGCGTCAAGCCAACCCGCCGTTACAAGCACATCCGCCGCCGCTGCCGCCATCGCAAGTACACTCGTGGCTGCCTCATTTACCATGTATATCTGATCTCCGAGAAAAATTCAAGTTCCTGATTCCCTCAAATGCGCTCGTTGTGGGACCCAGTGGTTGTGGAAAGTCTGTGTTTACCTCTCATGTACTCCGGCATGGCCTGATCCAACCCCAACCTACCCGCATCGTTTGGTGTTATACTCAATGGCAGCCATTATATCAGGACCTCGGTGAGCAGCTGCCTCAGCTGACCTTTGTGAAAGGAATTCCCTACGATATCTTGGACGAGGATTACTTTGATGCTCGTCAACAGAACGTGTTGGTCCTGGATGATTTCCTGGTCGAAGCAAAGCACGACAAGCGTATTTCGCGGCTGTTTACTCAAACCTCACATCACAAGAATGTATTGATCTTTTTCTTGATACAAAATCTGTTTCCGAGAGGTAAGGAATCGAGAGACATTGCTTTGAACGCGCATTATGTCACCCTGTTTCATTCCCCCATAGATAAACAGCAAATCAAACCGAACTGAACATATGGATCACTTTATGGCTATGTATGAAAAGGTTGCTGAAACACCCTATGGACAACTCACCATCGATCTTAAACCTACCACCAAAGATAAGGATCGACTGCATGTTAACCTCATAAATGAGGAAAACAGGAGAACAACAGCACAGTCTGAACCTGATCTGCATAGGGAGAAGTTGACTACAACAGAATCTCTGGATAGTCCTCTGACACAAGAAGAGAGATTGCCCCAACATCAGCTCACTCCAATTGAAACCGATTCAGACACGAGTAATGAGACATCATTGACTATGGCCACGGCTTGCGCAGATTGCGGGGTGCTGATAGATAACATGCACGATCTACAGCGACATATCAAACACTGGTGTCCGGCCAATAGCCTTCAACCTAAGAGAAAGCGTGCCAGACTCGAGAGTGATGACGATGACAGTGACTTTGACGACCTAGCCTCTTGCCGTAGGAAGTCAACATTCACAAATATGGAAGCCGAGGAGTGGCAAAATGTAGGCTTACAACGCATCTGGAAGCAGCTGTACGATACGTTTCATGACAAGATGAAACTGCAGAAAAAACAGTACAAGCGACAGGGACGAATGCAAGAATGGATTGAGAGAAGATTGAAACTGAGATGGGAGGATCTAGTGCGTAGTACTCTCAACAATGCGATGGAATATACCACGTACTTTAAAGAGGCACCTCTGTTTCAAAACATGCTATACAACCTGGGAGACATGAATCCTTCCACGGAACAATCCGTTCTCAAAAATAAAATAAAACTCCTCCTAAAACCCAAGATGAAAGAGATCCTGCCTTTGATGGATATGCCGGAAATAGAAAGTGAGACTGAATCTGATAGCGTTGCAGAGGATAACGACGGTGATGACGAGGAGGAGTATGATGATCGTGAGCAGAACGATTAGGCATAAATACCCATCACTACTATATCCGTCTAACAGTCAGAAGAGAATGCCAGGTCAACGCCACGCGTCTAGTTCGATTCATATTTTGAAAACACCTCGTAAACTGAGGCGTTTGAACGATAAGAAACGCCGAATTTCCTTCTACGTGAGAGGAATTGTGAAACTGGGACCTCCTGGACGGAAATCGTTACAAGCAATGGATAAAGCATAGACTATAGACAACCATTCAACCTTAAAACAGCGTAGGAAAGGAAACATTCAACAGTGCGAAATGTGTTTCAAAACATGGACTCGCTGTTTAAACAATAGGGCCTTCGAGCAGCAGCAGCATGTGTATATGAGTGACTAAATAATGTTCCAGAGTGAATAATATTGTCCATTCGTATATCACGGCTTTGTATGGAACCGATTGACTCGAATCAATAAATGATACGAATGAATTGTTTGGGTTTTTTTTCTCAGTTTTTGCATATTAGTATATAGTCTTCGTCATACTACACCCGTGAAGGTCCGGGTTTTAGAATCGACCTTCAGTAACCCATGCTTATCGGCGACTGACGGCGGGGATCGGTTGGTCAGTCTCGCCGACTCGGATGACACGTGCCATCGGTTCCTAGTTGGCCAGATCGCTGCACATGCTGTTGATCACTGGATTGTCTGGTCCAAGCTCGTTTATTGACAGACCACCGTCCTAGAGCTGGAATAATGCCGAGTGTGGCGTACAACTAAATTCACTCACTCACTGATACCAATACATCTAAAAAAGTAATGTCATCATTTAAATGGTGAGTTTAAACGCGTATTTTACCCCTACAAGGACGAGTGCATTCCACACACCCTCCCTGTTATCAAATGTGTCACTGTTTACAGTTCGGGCGAACATAACCCTATAGACATGTGTGCGGACGAGTTCATTCATCAGAAATCTGTCATTTACGATGTGTTTATAAATATGAACTGCTAACCACGCTCATAGTCATGTTGCGTGTCGTGGTTAGAACCGTAATTGATCTATCGAAAGGTGTCATACATTCGTGTTCGGATATAGGTACAACATCTACACGCACATACTTTCCTACATCATTCAAATGTATTAAATACCGGATACGTTTAATAGACACCAACGAAAGAAAGGTTTAATGAGGGGGAATACCCATATATATCCTCTCTGAAATAACTCCCTTTTAAAATAACAAATGTACAACACATCTTCCCTAATATATCATAAATACGGGACACTGGTCACACAATTTATGAATGGGAAGCTTCAGGCGAGGCTGGTATGTTAACATTAATTGTAAGGCCGGGGTATGTTGACATTGTTATGGGCGGTCGGTCGCTTAGTCTCTCTGCTATACATTAGCTATGAATAAACCTGCTTCGACATATATTTCCAATAAAACATTTTCCTCGTCAAACAATTTTCCATGATAAACTCTGTTCTCTCTTCGAATTAAGGGTGGGTATTGTAAACATTAAAATGTCCTATAGATTGCTTCCATCACTTTCCCAACAAACCTAGCTTGGTGCCGTCACACTGGTACATGTACTTATCAGTTTTCTATCTATTTTCAAAATAGCACGTTCTGAAGTAAAACTGCGCACATCATGTTACACGGTTAAAACTCAAACCGCACGGTTTATTTATCATCGCGTTAAATGGAAAAGCTAGCATTGAAACATCAACTATGGAAGTCGGGACAGGGCTGAATAATTCTTTACAAATGGTTCACAATAGTACGCAGCGCGGGGTGATTCGAAATCCGGCTGCCTTCAGCGTTATAGTCAATGCAGGGTGACGTGACTACCTCGTTGTTGCCCGCTAAACGTAAACTACACTGCTAGCTTGCTGATTGTGTAGTCTTATCTATTTTGTCTATATTTTGTTCTATACAGGTTGTCTAACGTTCATGGTGTACAACGTGTAGACCGTACAAGATGAATTTGATCCAGCTAGACGTACATTTTTTTTCCCCTTACATTACCCGGCGTATATCATGTTGACACAACCCGTCTCTATTGCGGTATGGTCGTACTTTCAACACACACCCTGCATTCATCAAACCAGGTCGCACGCTCTATCGAGCGCGGGTTAAACGACGAGGCCACGTGAGTTGTCAAGCGCGCTCAATTCAAACTGGGCTGACGGGTACGGTCTGTCTATTCAGGGCAGCACGATATACATTTAGCTCTATTCATAACCCTTTACTTTTGTTTTCTTATGAATTCTTTTCTGGTTTATAAACACACACCTTTCATTCCCCCTCACCTGTGACGCGCTGTTGATGCATGAGTCATCCTATCCGATCACGTGACTTGGATCAACCAATCACCTTCCCTATTTTCACTCAACCTCCCTCAACCAAAGGGGATTCCTGCGGACTGACACTATACTACTACCCCATGCATGAATCACAAAGTACTCCTTACTCAATCCCTTTGAGTTCATCTTCAGTACGAACAATTCATTGTCCGGAACAATACATATTAGCTGTCAGTTAGCCAAGGCTCCTCTGCTAGATTCTTAGAACATTCTCTGCTGGTGGTAGTGCCTCTTGCCGAGGCAAAAACATATACTGACAAAATTAGTACGTCAAAGGAGGAAGTTTTGTGCCTGAAGCTGTTTTTTAACATAATAAGTTTTCAACCGATCTCGTGGGGTGATGTACCCTATGTGTGAGCATATGTACTCCGAGCTGTCAGGCTCACACACAGGCTACATCACACCATATGCCACGAGGGATCGGTTGACAACGAATTTCACCGACATTATTTCTTACAGAATATATGCCCGAAGTGAGTGAGTGAATTAGCAATATTCCAGCAATAGAAAGGGCTTCACACATTGTACCTATGTACCTATGTCGGGAATCGAACCCGGGTTCTCGGCGTATGCCCGAAGTGTCACTGAGTACAACGCTTTGATTCAGCCATTTTGACATCTAGCAGACAACTACAAAGGGTTTTTATTATTTTACACAAATAATAATAACATTTACAATAATATATAGTAAATCGAACGAGTACAATAGGGTTCTTAGCCTTTAAGACTTGTAGCCTTAATATCAATAATAAACAGAACTATTACAATATTGCTATGGCTTTTAGGTTTGGAGCACTAACAAATTAAAAAAGTAAGCAATTGTAAAGCAAAACATATATGTTGACCCCCCACCACATCAGTGTGGGGAAATGCATTTTGGGAGATTTTAGGAGCATTGTCAAAGTGCAAAGGTCAAATAAAGGCCAAAAATTGAAGACATATAAAAACCGGAACATATTAGTTGAGTCCCACTTCACATTTTCCAAATTTCGTTGCATTTTGAACCAAGAAGACCTTTCAATATTGCTGTCGTGGCCACAAATTGGGGTGTCATCATTCGTGAAAACAGGTATGTTAACTTCCAAATTCGTTGTTCCACGTGTTTCCGAGGAGAAGATGTTACGACGCACTATGGACAGACAGGTAATGAAAAAAGCTTAAAATGAATATCATCATGTAGGCGGATCGCGTGATAATGTGCAGTTATAGTCTTAGGCTTGGTTTCACATTGAATCAATTGACAACATTTTACGATAACATACCCACCACATAATCATTCTGGAAAGAATATTTTATTCATGCCATGACAACATGCAGTGTCAATATTTTTCGATCTTGAAAAAGGCTATGGAAGCATGGTATTCTGAAGGATTTACACGATTTTGGTCTGAGCGGCCGTTTGCAACATTTTATATAACAATTTTTAACAGATAAGCAATTGTAAGTCCGAGTGGGTTCAACCCTGTGTGATCATTATAATCAGGACGCCCGCAAATAAGTATTTTGTCTGTCACTATATTTCGTATTAATATCGACCGCCTCCGTGGTCTTGTGGTAGAGCCTCCGCCCGGAGAGTGGAAGGTCCGGGGTTCGATCCCCGGCCGCGTCATACCAAAAGACGTTAAAAGATGGTACTTGTTGTTACCCTGTCTGGCGCTCGGTATTAAGGGGCTAAAACAAGGACTGGTCGGCTCGGAGTCAGTATACTGTGTCTGAGTGGGGTATTCATGTTAAACTGCGGCATTGTATCTCAGTGAGCTAGCACTATAAATCGGCATCAGTCCGGACTAGTACAAGCAGCCACACAAACACACACACGTACATGCACGTCGCTATATAAGTGCAATAATCTTGGACGCGACGTTAAACCCTATTTCACCTCACCTCACCTCGTATTAAAATCATTTTTCGTGATTGATTTTAATAAAGCTTGTCGTGGTACAAATATGCACACTATTGAGAGACAATTATGTCTCAATAAAATTCAAAAATGGTCACTGGAGAAAGGGTTTAAATTCTCTAAAGCCAAGACAAACTATTTCTATTTTAAATATAAACCGCATGAGGATCCTGAGCTATGTATGACTGGGGGTTTTCCTACTAGAATTGTTCTTCCTTATAATTTTTGATAATCATTGAACATTTTTACCACATATTAAATGTCTGAAGGCACTTGACTTGTTAAAAGTTGTTTCTAATTCCAAATAGGGGAATCAGACAACCCTCCTTCATTCATGTCGATCTCTTATCCGTTCAAAACTCGATTATGGCTCCATCATTTATGGCGGGGCCTGAAAAAGCAACTTACAAAAATTAGATTCAATACATCATCAAGGCTTAAGACTTTGACTTTGAGCCTATGAAAGATCACCGGTCGATATGTATGTAGAGACATCTCTCAAACAACGTCGAACCAACCTTTTATTGCAATATAGTATTATTTGATAACTTTTGAATTGTTTTAGAATAGTGTGATATTATTGTCAAATAAGATTAATGAAGGCGGTGCCACTCAGGGAGTTAGAGTAGTGTCAAAATGTTGTCCCCTTGACAGTGGCACACGAGTTCCTCTATATTGTAGTGTTTCATATTCACTAGTGTTTTTATTAGTTTATTGTGCTTTTTTGTAAACTCACCTACTCATGCCATGACGTACATTAAAAACATCCATCCATTG